GCCCAATTCATAACAGTAGCAAAATTACAGTTATGAAGTAGCAATGAAAATAATTTTATGGTTGGGGGTCACCACAACATGAGGAATTGTATTGAAGGGTGGCGGCATTAGGAAGGTTGAAAACCACTGACTTAAAACATATTTACATATTTTGATTTGTGTGACCTCTGCCTTCAAGTCCCAGTAGAGTCATAGCCATTTACAAGAGGACTAGCCAAGCTGATTATTTGGATAGCATACTTGCTCCTTGCTCTGATATCTGGCCTTGTTATGGTTTGGATCTATAAAATGGTGGGAATCTATAAAAATTATTTCTTGAAAGAGTTCAGCTGTAGACTGACATAATCTCTTAAACTTTCCTATATTTTCTTGTATCTTAATACCAGGTACCTAAGTGATAACTTTCTCAATTAGCTATAAACTACTAATAATACAAGGGGGTACCCCCCCAAAAAAAAAAAAAAAAAAACACCTGGAAAAAAGCTCCGCTAGGCAGAGCTTTTGTAGAATGCATTTTTCCCTGCTAGGCGAGCATCTGTCAAAGTGCACCCAGTGGCTTTGCCTGGAAAGGTTCTCTCTGGTCACACAGTGAGTTTTTTCATCATAGCAGTTTAGCTCAAACCTCGTTTTTTTGTAATGGCAGATTTAAGAGAAGAGAGTGAGATTGTGATACTTTGTTTCCTGCTCGGGGGGAAAAATGCCGCCAAAACGGTTGTGATGTTGAACACAGATTATTGCTTATTTTTCCATGTCCATAAAAGAAAAGAGAAAAATCAAGCCCGTGTCAGGGTCTCCCAGCTTTTGTTACATATCTCATCATCTGAGTAAAGCTGGCCAGGGGTAGATGTGGGCTTAAGAACAAGGGAAAACAGTAAATGTGGGCTTAAGAACAAGGGAAAACAGTTATTTAAGCCTTTGACAGTAACAAAACCAAACACTCAAATCATTGCCACTGAGTGGATTCCAAATCATAGTAACCCAACAGGACAGGGTAAACCTGCCCCCATGAGTTTCTGAGACTGTAACTCTTTACAGGAGTTGAAATCCTCCTCCTTCTCCCAGGGAGTATGTGGCTTCAAGCTGCTAATCTTGAAGTTAGCAACCTGACCCATGACCACTGCACCACCAGGGCTCCTTCTACACACGTTTTCATGTCTTCTCAGTCTGCTTTCCCTCAGCCCAAGCATGCAAGATAATTTCACGATGCCTTTTTGCTTAAATATCATATATTTTTCTAAAGGTTTTTATTTTGTATGTGTAATGTTTATGATTCAGACAACACCTGAAACATTACAGTCTATAAGCCCGAGGACCCAGTTGCCTGTGTCCAATCATACCCTGTCTTATTAGTTAGCTGTGCAACCAAGACCGTGTTTCTTCACTTCTTTGCCTTGGCTCTCCGTCATTAAATGGGGATGATAAAACTGTAGCCCATAATATTGTTTTGATGAATAAACGTAACATGTTTAAATTAGTGCCTAGCATATAGTGAATATTCAGTAATTGTAGGATTTTTTCTCCCATGCGTGAGAATTGTGGATAGTGGTTACATTGGAATTCATAGAAAAATTAAGATACATAACTACCTTTTACATAATGATTAGTATAAAATGCATTCTATTTAGTAGACTACTGACTTTAAAAATCAATGTGCAAAACACGTTCCATTTGTAAATAAGGAACGGTTGCTTTTGCTTATTTTTCCATTATCCACCTTATCAATGATCTCGTTATTGACATTTGTATTATTTACAATAATAGTAAGTCTATCCTACTATTTTGCAGAATAACCGCAAACATCTATCAGTAACAAGGGCTGAAGTGCAAATTACTTCAAGACAAGATAATGAAGGTTGTCTGTCAGTTTGGATGGGTTGTGATCTTGGGTGATTTGGCAATTATGTAGTGATGCAATTCACAATTATGAAATAATGTGGCAGTTCTTTAATGATGTAATCATCTCCACTTCGTAACCTGATACCAGCATCCATTTTTACATAATGCCAAATTTTGCTTAATGACCTGGTCTTTGGGACCCTAAGCAAGTCAATAAATGAAGAGAGGGCATATTATTTATTGTGTTTATAGACAAGGAAGGGAAATTAAATGGATGCATACTATGTGCTACACATGTTATGCGATTTCACGTACTCCACAAACATCCTTACTAAGTAGCTAGTAATAACGCCATTTCAAAGGACAAAGCTGAAACTTTAGAAGGACCAGTGTTTCCCTTAAATAATATGAGAGGGTTGCCAAAAGCTTGTGGAAAATTCTATCCCTCAATTCCAATTTTCCATGAACTTTTTGCAGTCTTCTTGTAGAGTTTCTATAGTCTTTCATACTCTAAGCTGAAAACCTCTGCTATCTCTGCTTTATTCGAAGTTCAGAGGTTCAAAATAGAAGGCCACAGTTTCATAGGATATTCTAGCTAATTGACTAAGACTGTATTTAGTGCTTCTATTTTGTTTGTATTTGCTTCCTCACAGAGCACCTGAGATTTTAAAAGCTTGCAAGCCACAACACTTGGCCTCTTACCTAGAACAGTAGAGGCAAAAGAGTTAGGAGTAGAAGAAGGATATTGAATATTTGGCTAATTGCCTCCGTGAACATGCTCCTTTAGCCAGGAGATGAGAATTGGATGAAGCTTGGTTACCAATACTGAACATTTTGAATTTTGATAAATGATTCCATAGGAGAAACCTAATCATAAGGAGAGAAATACAGGGCAAGATTTTAAATTCTCTTCAACCCCAAACTTTTAACAGCTATGGAGGCTTGATGAATCTCTAAAATTATTGCCCTGAGATAAACTTTAAACCCCAAAATATCCCATGTAGTCTCTTAAAACTAAATGACAGTTTAGCTTACCTCGTAAAAAAAAAAAAATCTGCGTTGACCATAGTGCTCTTTTTAAAATCTCTTTTCATGGGGTCAAATTGATAACTGCAACTCAGTATATTAGATAGAAAGCCTAGGAAGGCAAGAAGTTTATGCGCATTGGGAAGCAATAACTCAGAAAAGGACAGTGAGGATGGTAGTATACCTCAAGGAAAGGAATCATTGTCTCTGACTTTTTATATGTTGAATCGGTGTATTTCTGCTGTATCACCTCAACTATGATAATAAAATAAAATAAATCATAAAAGGAAAACTGTATAGAACAACTGGTATCACACATCAATCAATCAGAGAGGTGTCAGATTTTTAGAGGCCTCCTGCTCTCTTGACTATCCACCTGCTTAATGGTCCGACTATGACAAAGTCTAAGGTTCAGGGCCAATCCCTATAGAGAAAGAGGGTTACATTTGGAGAAGTTTAAGCAGTAACCATTTTCTAACCAGTATAAAAGTATGTGGCAGAGTGGTTATACGTTGGCTGCTAACCACAAGGTCAGCAGTTCAAAACCACGAGCAACTCTGAGGGAGTCCTTTCTATTTCTATTCCTGTCAAGAGTGACACAACTTTAGAACCCCCAGGCACAGTGCTACTCTGTCCTACAGGGTCATTCCTTGGCCGTGAGTTTGTGTTTTGTTTCTTTATATGAAAGTTTGTTATAATGTCTCATTTTAAACAAATGGTATTGTTCTTTTTGCTCAAGTATAACTCTCTGTATTAGGTATGTAAACATATATAGTATTAATAATTATTTTTATGTGTGTTTTAAACTTTAGTCATAATTTTTGGATCAGCCACAATTTGGAATTCCTTCTTGATGATTCTATGACATCAGTATATGATCCTTTATCAGTCACATTTATTGACTTATTGTTAACATAAATTGCCTGTTTCAGCTACTTTTTTATTGTGAATTTGTTACAACTGGAGGGAAGGTACTCTTATGTTACTTTACTTTTGTCAAAATGTTCATTAAACTATTATATAATTATAAAAGATTATATTAATCTGCTGTTTTTCAAAATGTGAATTTTGCTCTCATTTATAATCTTCCTCTTTAAAAATCCAATTGATTTAATATAAAGAAATATATTGAGGATTCAAATTTTTTTTGATTTGCCGGAAAATATTGCTTCAACAAATAAAAAATCACACATATCTGATTTCTGCTTCTGAGATTTAAACAAAGATACACCTGTTTTAGAATCAATGTATATCTGCTTCAAGTAATAATTCAGCCAGTAAACCAAATGTCGTACTTAATGCCTAATTTAGGATCTAGAAATCTCTCTGTCTCTCTCTTTTTGGTTTGTTTGAAACTAGCTTATGTACTACAAAAGCGTTGAAATCAGTTTCAGTATTACTTTTCCTCCTTTTGTAACCACTCAGACCAGTGTTTAGATCAGACAGGGAAGGAAACTGGAGGGGGTTCAAGGACGTGTGCTTTCTCCCTCATTTTCTTCTTTATTTGTGCATTATAACACACTCGGTGAAAACACCCAGAACATCTGCACAGCCACCGCACCAGACCAGCTGCAGAGTCCCAGGAACCCCTGCCCTTTTTTTAACCTTCTTCTTGTTACATAGTCTCTGTCCACATCCAAGAAATAGAAAAGACCAATGATTTTCCTGACGATTTACACAATGCGTGAAAACCCAATCTCTTAATTTCGTAATTCAGGAAAGTAAAAAATCATTAATACTATTTATTTTACTTGGATCTTTTTTGATGTGGTAGAAAATTATTTAAATTATAGATTTCATTCAATAGATATTTATTTCTTGGTTTCATGTTATGGTATTTCATTGAATTAACTCTTTTCTACATTTGATCTGGACCACATGAAATTACCAATGTTTCATGATTGTTCAACAATAAAAGGGACAATTTCACCTAAGGTATCTATTGCCAATATGCTCACTGTTGTGAGATAATTTGTTTTTATTATTTTCTATGCATATGGAATGCATTATTTTGTTCTGTTTCAGTGGCTAATGATGAATTATTCACTCTTATAGATGTTTTATCAATATATATATATCTATATTTAATCTGAACTGAAAATGAACCCATCATACTAAATTTTGCTTTCACAGTCTGTTTTTTTGTACTCTGCTTAAAATTCTGTATTATATATATCTTCATATATATATATATATATAATTTTATCAAAATATATTTATGTCTGCAAATGGTATCTACATCTATGTTCAGTGCAAATTACAGTATTATGACAGGTCGTCACAAAAGGAACAGTTTATATTTGATGATTTTCAATAGCATTTGGAACTATACATGAGGCATAGCATTAAGATTAAGTTCATCCGTATCAAACAAAGTGGCCAATAATGTTTTGGTTTAATCATTTGAATAGTAATTTTTCTGCACTGTCATGTCAGCTCATTATAAACAGAGGATCAAGCAAATTTCTGAAATCACCATTTTTATATAAAGCTATGTTTTTTGTTTTTGTTGTTTTTTCATTTTTACTTTCAAAAGATTTAAAGTAATTCCATTTACTTTTGTATAGTTCAAAAAGGCCCACAAGAACAAACATGAAAATGTGAAAACACTCCTAAATAAACAAGAATGACTCAGAAGCTCTTTATGGTTTCGCTTGCTCATATTCATCTTTCAGTTTTTGATTATCTAATTATCTACCACTGAATCAATAATGACTTCATCTTTGTTTACTGCTGAGGATCGTTTGTGTAATCCAGACATCTTTTAGTTTTAGGGATTTTATCCTGTGTTACTGTGTTATTTTCTCCATCAGAGCTCATCATTTTGTGGAATGTTGCCATATATTGAGCTGTATTTGCTAGGGTCTTAAATATTATTTCCTTTTGGTAAAAGATAGCTGAGCTTTTCCCAGCCAGCAGACAATCAGGCATTCCTCCTCCTGACTCACAGAATCCTCATGCAATACAGTTCCTTTTGCTGTGCGTGCTTCAGAATCTGCAGAGTCAGGGCCTGGTGTTTTCCCCAAGCCCTGGCTGCTTTGATGTGCTAGTCACAGTAACCCCCTTTGCACATTTCGCTGAGCATGAGACGGGTTCTTCTCTGCATTTGCATTTTCTTTGCTTGTCATTTTCTTATTTCAGTATGTTGACATGTGAGGACTTCACCTCCTTGCCTAGACTCCTATCCACTTCTTCCACATTGGCACAAACCTCCCTTTTATCTTTTTGAACTTACTGGAAATTACAGTAGAATCTGTTTGGGTTATCTAGGAAATTTTCCTTTTGTTCTTTTTCCTATCTTTCTTTTATATTTTCCCAAGCATCAGCTACTTGTTGCTTTTTTGTCAGTTTATGCTAGCTAAAATCTCTTTCCTTTTAGAACAATCCTTTGAGGATTTAACTCCATTAATGATGACTCTTCACTTCCCGGTTTTTGTTGTTGCTTTTTTTGAAGGGAGGGGCATGGGAGGAGAGCAGTATAATTTGAAAAGTCTCTTTGGCTGAAGTATGTATTATATAAAAATATGCTAACATTTTCAATGTCATGAATACAGGAAAGAGAATATTTACATATTGCAGATCATTAAAATATTGTGTGGCATAATGTTTGATGTTTGTATCTAAGAAGTTTATATGCAAATTTTAATAATCCATAGCTGCATTTTTAAGCTTTTCCTTTAAAGATCTCTACAAGAGAATGATATTCAGCCTGGATACACATACTTTAAAATTATATTTTCAATTTTTTCCCATAAATTAGTTAAATAATCTTCTCTTTAATTAGTTTTTCCTCAAATTAGTCTTAATTAACAAGTACTAATTAATGAGTCTAACATATCATATTAATTTTTTAACTCCCATAATTTGCTTTTATTCTTATGTAGAAAATGTCTTCTAATTTCTGATTCAATTTTTTTTCTTAAGCTATAGCACCCTAGTAATTTGTTCAGTGAAATCATTTTTAGACCTATTATTATCCTTGTTACTACCATGTAAATAAAGCATTATAGTGCGAATTGTGGATCTGGGTTTCTGTTTAGGCACTGAAGTAAATTTCTCTTTACCATAATGTTCTCCTTTAGGATGGAAGTATCTTAAGTGTCAGATACTCAAAAGTGTTATTATAGCAAGATTAAAATATTTTAAAGTATGTGAAGTTTAAAAAAATTAAAATCCATTGCCGTGAGTCCATTCTGGTGTGTAGCAGCAACCTTACAGAATAGAGCTGTCCGATACCTAGGTTCCCAAGTCTGTCATCTCTGTAAAAGCAGCCTGCCACATCTTTATCCACATTGTGGCTAGTAGGGTCAAGCTGTGGGGTAGCAGTCAACTGCATTTTTAACCGCAGAGCTTCTAGAAACTGCGTGAAGACCACCCCTTTATGGTTTGCAAAATGCAACCTTTTTTGTTTGCCTTTCTCTTTTTTATCAGCTGTGTGTGTGTGTGTGTGTGTGTGTGTGTGTGTGTGTGTGTGTGAGAGAGAGAGAGAGAGAGAGCGAGAGAGAGTGAGCTCAATCCTAATTCTTAATCAATTTTTTATTTGCTGGTATGAATTTCAGCTTCCCATTCATAGTTTTTGTTTTGTTCTTCATGTTGGACTGTCCATAATTTCTAATGTTTAGTCTGTCTTAATCTTGAGGTCAGTTAAATATGTTAGGTAACGGATTGCTAACAGATATAACAAATGCATATATTTTTGCCACATTTATCAGAATTAATGAAATTATTTTTTTAAATACTTATCAATTTTATGAACCTCCAAAGGGGGAAAGTAGAACTTTAGTGTTTGACTTATGAGTTCTTTCATTAAAACATTCTTTATTAAGAAAAAAAAACATTTTTTGTATGCTCATACATTTTCTTGTGATCATTTCATAAACTCATGGAGTTGGAAGTGACCTTCAAGGCTACCATGTAATGACCCCTCTGATGTTTAAATTCCATCCTTGCTGTCTGTGTCTCTTATGTACACTTTTTGTTTTATGCCAAACAGTGAAATTAGCATCAGTTTTCATCATTGCATTTCTTTTTCTTCCTCTGTAGGACTTTCTAGCATTTTTCTAGCATTGAAAAGTGTTTTAGAAAAGTATAGCCTACCTAGTCTTGGCGGTGATAATAATAAAGAAAACGAGGAAATTATGTTTGAAAAAAGAAAATGGGTTGATAATAGAAGTGATTTTTAACAGTTTTATTGGCTTATAATTCATTAACCATACAATTTAATTGTTCGTGCATATTAAGACTTGTGCAATCATTGCCACAGTCACAGGAACATTTCTTCTCATACTCATTGTTAGCTCCCATTTGCCCCCAACCTCCCCTGCCATGCCCCTGGGTAATTATTAATCCAATTATTGGCTCTATAGCTTTACCTATTCTGGATTTCATATATAGAAAACCACATAAAACATAAATAGGATTTGGGGTGGTGGTGGGACAACAACAATGACAAACAAAACTGAGAGTAAAAAAACCCCCAAAATATTAATATCTGAAACAACTTTAAAATGGGTTAAAGGGAAGTCAAATGGTAAGTTACTACATTTACCCTAACTACATCTGCTATAATCGACTTCACAGTAATCTCTGTGTGACTTCAGACAATAACCTTTTATTTGCCAACTACCATCTGGTTTCTTCACTGCACTTTGCTATGACACTCATATTTTCAGTGATGTCTTCCTAAGGGCGAGTTTCAATTAAGGCCATATTATGAGAGCTAGATTCTTAGATTGGGGTTAGAATTAAGCATGGGCACAAAAGCCATTCGTATCTATGGTGTGTGTATATATATACAGTGAACCCTCGTTTATCGCGGTTAATCGGTTCTAGACCCTACCGTGATAAATGAAATTCCACGAAGTAGGATTTCTTATTTGTAAATCAAATATTTTCGTAATTAGAGCACAGAGGACATGAAAAAACACCCTTTAGTCACCATTACACTCGCAAACAATTACAGTACACTGTACAAAATCAAATATTCATCTGATACGTAGCTCCGATACGTAGCGATGCAGACAGAAGCGTGTACAGTATGAGCCAATCAGTGGCAGTAATGACAGAGCATGCGCTGTTAACGCAAAAACCGCGATAGAGGGAAGCCGCGGAAGTCGAAGCGCAAAGTGGCGAGGGTTCACTGTATGTATGTGAATGGCTTTTTATATATATGTATATTTTACTCTAGAGACATAGCTATCATTTTGTGATAGAGAACATTACAAATCATCCCACTGGGCATAAGGTAATTCTATTGATAGTATCATTAATTTATCCAATGGTATGGAATTTAAAGCACTTTTGAGAAAAGGAAATTATACATGTATAGGCTGGCTTTTGAGACTGTGATACATGAATTGTTGACTTGTATAAATTAAATGATTAAGCTACTGGACACTATTTACACAGACAATGGGGATTGGTATTGGGGCAAAATTTTCATTAACAAATAGTGATATATTTTT